TTCGGCAAACAGTGACTTTTGACCTTCGTACCCAGTCGACCCCCCTATAACACTGTTGATTATTCCGTTTTATATGAATTCCATGTTGTACGAGTCACTTAGATTTTACAAATATGTGAGAAATTGATAGCCGTGCACTCGTATTTGTAAAATCTAAGTGACTCGTACAACATGGAATTCATATAAAACGGAATAATCAACAGTGTTATAGGGGTGTCGACTGTATTCTTTAAGAAAAAAAAAAAAAACGAAAAAAAGCCCACATATGTCTTATAAAAATTCGATGTTTCCAGATAAGGTTAAAAACTAAATTGGTCATCACGAGCGTGACGTTACTCTGTCGGAATCGATAAAGAGCGTGGTGTGACGCTTCGGTTGTCACGTAGCGCTCATGCGCCACGGGTTCGGACCGTCGAAGTACCGACGTGACTACAGATCGGACCGAGATCTCGTCACCGCAACATCATCTATGGCATCATCAGGTGAGTTTAAGTTACTTAACGCCAATCTTCAGGCGTTACGTTTCTTAGACAGACAAATTCGCGTATCACTCTTACTAATTTAATAATAACATTTATTATTTAAATTAGTGACATAACAATAGAAATTTTTCGCCAAAAAAAATACCGTCTTTTATATGCAAAATTTTCTTACATTTTTCGACAATTTCAGTCCCTTTTTTTTTTATCCAGAAATTCCTTTTTATAAAAGTTCGAATTTCTATTTATAATATAATTTATATCTATTTACTGAAGCTTTTTTACGATTTCTCCATCCTTCTAAATGCTTAAAAAGCCATCGTTTTCTTTTTATATATGAATATATAAGAAAGAGTAACGTTTTCTTCCCATATAACTAACTTAGGAAGGGATGAGTAGTGTTAAATTCGTATAATTAATATCATTAATCGCTGAGAAAGTAAAAAAGAAGTGGTTTAAAACACTCTATAGTGTCATATTCTTTATATATTTTATACGTTCACGACCTATTGTTAGTATTTCCTAAGGTGTTTCGGATGAATTGCACATTAATAATCCATTTAATAAGACTTTTCTGACTAACATATTCCGTACAACACAACAGAAGACACGTCATATATTAACTTATCTGTCGTTTTATTGGTAAATTCTATTACACAGGAAACAAATTGCTTAACGTGTTGAAGGATTTTCACAATACTTTCAAAAAAAAATATCTCTTTAATGGATAGAAGAGCAGCAAGATGTCGATCAAAATAGAAAAATGTTTCCTGTTTTAATTATTTTCGTTATAAAAGAGCATTTTTCACTATAATTAATTAAATTTCTAATCCTTCCTCTCAAATAACGTTACAAAGTATCGTACTGCAATTAACGAATATTACTTTTAGCTGATTTAAGTTTAATCCCTGTTTACATTTTCGGTTTTTACGTTTATAATAAAAGTAATTTTTCAACAAATTCTTTACTAAACTTGTAAATTTTTTTTTACAATGACGTTGCTAAGAAACATAATCAAAAATATATTAGAAAATTTATGTAGAAAATCGACTCATTTCTCCTTTATCGTTTTCGGAAAACATAAAAAAGTGATGCGGAGAAGAGGACGATATCTCCTTGTCTTTTCTCCTCTTTCTTGTTGTCTTTTTATTGTTTTCTATTTTATAACCGATAGGAATCGATCCGGAAAATCATTTCTTATGTAAAAAAATGCGGGATGATCAGAAAATATTTGCTGGAAAACGATAAAAATGTTAGTCTTCTCCCCCCTTCTACAAAGTAAGACGAATAAGTCGAATTTTATAGTAAAAGTTTAGGAGAATTTATTTAATTAAAAATGATGATAGTTTTCCAGAGAATTTACAATATTTTTAAAATTTCTGTGTACTAAAAAAACACGGATCTATGCAATGGTTAAACGTTAAACTCTACAAACGTCGATAACTTTATAACTTTGTGGTGTTCTCCTCTGTTGATAAGCGTACGTCTGATTAAAATTTCCATCTTTCATACACGATTTATATGCTAATATTTGAGTCTCTTAGGACGTAGACACTTTTAAATAACTTTTGATAATGTTTATTCCTCATCTTCCATCAGTAAGATGGAAGATGAGGAATAAAGAGATTTTTCCTCTCTTTGTATCGACTCCTCTCTCTCTTGTGAATTCTTACCATTACGAAATTTTAAAAGTATTTATTTTATAATATACAAATGCATTATGTTTGTAAATAAATGAATTTTTTATACGCATAAAATATAGTTAAGAAAACAAGCATAGATATTTGCATTTCCATAATAAGAAACGTCATCTTAACCCGATTCTTCTTTAGGTTGTTGATTCTTTAACATACATATGCATATATTTATATATTAAAGCTCTCTTTGTGTGTTTACTTTTCTCTTCTTCTCCTCTAGATAAACACTAAAGCTAATAATGCCTCGTAAAAGTCTTTATAAATTAGAATATTTTTGATATTTTCTAACAAAATTTGCTAAATAAAACTTGTTTTTTACACTTGGACTTTATGGTTTTATCTATAAAGAAGACTTCTATTATTTAGATTTTATTAATTATAGTTTATTTTTTTTAATAGAAAAGCGACTTTCGCTTATTAAATTCCAGCACTTCGTCTCTTCTCCACTCTGGCAGAGAATGGAAAATGAAAATATGTTACGTGTAGCAGGAATAATTATCTCCATTAATTACAATTAGGTGACGATGACGTTTGTATTGTTACGTCTATCGAATGGTTTTCCACCCCTCGAAAAGTAATTAAGTGAATCTATAGACCGGAAGACAAACAAACGTTCTGTTTCTACGGATTCGCTTCGGATATTAAGTAGTTTGAACGTTAATGATCGAATAATTTGCTATTTTCATTCCGTAAATTAATGAAAAGTAATCTTCTAGCGTGATTTTCACAAAAAGTAATTGTGAGTGAGAAAAGATCGGAGAATATTCGTGACTTTTCCGGATTTATAGCTTGTTGCAACACGGTGGGACTTCAGAGGAGAATATTTTGTCTATGGCCACGTTTGATTAAACCAATAATTAATTTATAATTTCTAATAAAACAAGAAAAAATGTTGAGATAAATACCTTTTAATATGAGTTTTTTTGGTTTGTTTCTTCCCTTCCAAGCGATTTCACGTAATATCGCATTCAACAGTCGAGAGGCAATCCGTAATATGGACTGCAATGATTAAAAGTAAATTAGATTTGATGATGCGGTTTCTCTCTGGCTTGTTCTGTATGTAAACACGCAAACGGAAGTGCCAGAAGTGCACCACCACTTAATTTAAGAACACGAGCCAATTGCCCGTCCATCCCGTTATTGGTTAACATCAAAGAGTGTGTGTGGGGGGCTCATCGATTCTTCTCTCGATTTCGTTACTCCATTTTCCACATTCGATTTCCTATAACACCCTCCAACTTTTCTCGATAGTTAGACTTGTTTGTTGCTAGAAAATTGCCAATTATCTAAGTGCATCTTTGAGAAACCAGAAGATTTTATGAAGGAATTTTTAAGTTTTCAAATAAATTTCTAAAAGTGGAAAGGCATTAATCTGTTAAAAATAAACGGTAACAGTTATTGAAAATGCATTTGCAATTTATTTCATCTTCGGTTTTGTTTCAAATTCAATCATAAAACTCTACTTTGCCTAATTTGCATATCGTGTTTTCCGTTTAAGAATTTGCATTTCCATATATCTTATGATTAAAAATGAATTTCCTTTCTCGATTCGAATATTTCTAGAAGTATTTAGATAAAAAGAATTGCTTAAATACATTTAATATTTCCAAATAACACAATCTTAGAAGCAATTCGCAAATCTCGTGTCGTAAAGACTCGAATAAAAAGAATAATTATGACGTTTGTATATCATTCCACAATACAGAAGAGGGGTTATAGGTTGTCTCCCACAATACAGAAAGGGGTTATAGGTTGTCTCCCACAACACAGAAGGGTATTATAGGTTGTCTCCCACAATACAGAATGGGGTTATAGGTTATCTCCCACAACACAGAATGCTGTTATAGGTTGTCTCCCACAACTCCCACAGACAGAAGGGGGTTATAGGTTGTCTCCCACAATACAGAAAGGGGTTATAGGTTGTCTCCCACAACTCCCACAGACAGAAGGGGGTTATAGGTTGTCTCCCACAATACAGAATGGGGTTATAGGTTATCTCCCACAACACAGAATGGTGTTATAGGTTGTCTCCCACAACTCCCACAATACAGAAGGGGGTTATAGATTGTCACGTAACAGTTTTACCCTCCAATTTATGAATTACTCGAGCGGAAATGATGTCATAAAGCCAAAGAACAAGTGAAAATATAAGGATTAATTGTCTAATATCACGTGACAATCTCTACCCCTTACTCACGTATTATATAATATTTAAACTTAACTTGGCTACGTTTTTCTCAATAAAACAACAACGCAAATATAACTCTTAGTGTATAGAGATTCGATTAAAGAAAAGACTGGAAGGAAAAAAGGATGCGGGAAATTAAACACTAATTTCTTAATTAGTTTCTAAATAATTCGGGAAATTAAACACTAATTTCTTAATTAGTTTCTAAATACATATCAATGGCGTTTTGGTACTCGATCTTAGATAATTATAGAGATAAAGTGACAAATTATTTAAGAATTTAAATCATTGTCGAATACGTCATTTCTTAATTCTTTAGTTATTTAATGGCTAATTTTTCTAACCAACGACACGACGATGGAAAAGATAAAGACATCTTCCAAGGTAAATAAATTCATTTTTTGACTGTTAATTAACTGGTCGTTTATCATCAACGCCTTAATACCACGTTTCTTTAATTTGCATACGCCACTTTTTTTTATCATTTTCTGTCGGAGGTGGTAACTCGACCCAGTTTAAAAATCGTTCTATGCATAAATCAGTGTCAAGTATTAATATATTAGCTAAGTTCGACTTAATTATCATATAAATTTAACTGTTATAAATTGACTAGAGTGTCATTTCTTGTATTTACAGCGAAGGAAGAAGTTAAAGTCCATCAGAGTTAGCCAATCGAACCGATGTTTTCGTCATGACGTCCAACACCAGTACCAATTTGACGGTAGTGGTCAGTTCGCAAATCGAATATTATGGCGAATATCTCGGTATCTTTCGCAACAACTACACCGCAGTTCACGGATACCTGAGTTTAATCGTCTGCGTGTTTGGCATATCAGCCAACATCCTCAACATCGTGGTACTGACCAGGAAGAGCATGATATCACCCACCAACGCCATCCTGACGGGATTGGCGGTGGCCGACATGCTAGTCATGTTCTCTTACCTGCCTTTCGCTATACACAATTACATCAGGACCGATCTACCCAAAGCCGAGAAGTACTCGTACGGGTGGGCGGTCTTCACTCTCTTTCATGCCCACTTTACGGTGGTCTTTCACACCATTTCCATCTGGTTGACCGTCACGGTGGCCATCTGGAGGTACATGGCCGTCAGCTGTCCCGCTACCAATTTGAACTGGGGCAGCATGATCCGAGCCAAGTATGCCATACTCAACATTTACGTCAATTGCGTAGTCTTCTGTATACCCATGTATTTGACGTTCACCGTAAGAGAAATCGAAGAAAATCGCATACTCATTTATAACGTTGACTTTAGCGAGATTGCAAAGGAAAAGAACGGTCTCCTGCAGAAAGTCAATTTCTGGATCTTTAGCGTCTTGACCAAATTAGTACCATGCGTGGCACTCACGGGACTGAGTTTCGGACTCATCAGAGTCCTTTATCAAGCCGATTTGAGGAAGCAAAGACTCAAAAACAGGGTCGAAAGCGATAGAAGTTGCGATCGAACCACGCGAATGCTCTTGGTAGTTCTTCTCTTATTTCTCCTCACCGAATTCCCTTCGGGTATACTAGCTCTCTTGAGTGGTATCTTGGGAGAAAGTTTCTTCCATCAGGTGTATCTAAACTTTGGAGAAGTCATGGATATTCTGGCACTCATCAACAGCGCTATCAACTTCATCATCTACTGTTCCATGAGTCGCCAGTTCCGAGATACTTTTGCTCAGCTCTTCATGCCAAAGACCGTATCTCAATGGAAACCGTATCCCACCGATCCCAATTCCACTTATGCCACTACTTTTGTATAAATCTCGAAAATTGAGAGATGTCGAGGAAAGAATACGTCCAAAACCTTCAACGAGTCGGCGATGCGGGATACTTGATGGGATCGTCGTATATATATATATATCTCCCTCTCTGCCAAACGGACAGAGGTGTATCAGTGCAGCCACTTGCACTCTTATCGAAGAAGCGTACTCGTACCTGTTAACGATGTATCTGTCCTGCTATTCGTACTAATCTTAGTGTATTATTAATAATATTCTAGTCGAAACGTCGCAATATATATATTGTAGTACAGTATATATGTAGAGGAATGTCCAGCTTATCCGAAGAAAGATGTCGTTACGGATGATGCGAATTTTTGTAATTTAGAAAGGAAGAGAAACGATTACATTTTTATATAAAAAAAAGTATATATATATATATATATTATTTAAGGTATAAATTTAGAAATATTCATCAAAATTCTAAGGTTATTTTTCCATTAAAAAATAGAAATTAAAATTAATCTCCTTAGGAACACAGGGTAAAGGGGCGAGTTCGAATTGGATGACGAATCTGCCAAAGGGAATCAATCACGTCCACTCGTCGTTCTCTAATCAGAAAACGTAGAAATATTTTTATTGTATTATCGGTAACCAGAAACGATTTAAAGGCAGAAATTCCATTATTAGGGAAGCTGCTTTGGGGCTCTTTTAAATTTTTTCTGGTTACCACTTCGATGTGAAATATTGCCTCGCTGTATCGCTGTCATGTTATATTACGTGCCTAAATATCAAGAGAAATGTAGAGAATGAGAAATATAATAAAGTCTAATTGTTGTTTCTCCTTTCTTTTCTTTTCTTCTCTTATTTTAATTCTTTTCTGGTTCATTGCAATGTAAAAGAAATACATTTTTATTGCTTTTAATTCAGCTATTTTTTTTATTAATTTGTAAAGATAAAAACTAATTAAAACGTAAAACATCGATTCAGATTCTTGGTGCAATTTATCTATTAAAGAAGGAATAAATAGAGTTAATTAAGACGACGTAATTAATGTAGTTAAGTATAGCATCGAAATTAATTAAACCGTGTTTACTCTTCAAAATCGTATTAAAATGGATTTCAAAAATCGATTCCTTCTTAGAAAATTTATTCGATTCAAACCACAGATTTTGGATTTACCAGTCGACCTCTCCCTATAACACTGTTGATTTTTTCGTTTTATATGAATTCCATGTTGTACGAGTCACTTAGATTTTACAAATACGTGAGCCGTTCACAGCCCGGCACACGTATTTGTAAAATCTAAGGACTCGTACAACATGGAATTCATATAAAACGAAAAAATCAACAGTGTTATAGGGGGTCGACTGGTATATTTCAGCTAAAACAAGACGTTTTGGGATATCAAAAGTAAAAGAGAAATAGGATTAGAAGAAGATCGTTTCTACAGTTTATCTTCTTATTTGACTTGTCTTCATCCTCGAGTATTAGATATTTAACAAAAGAAAAAAAACGAGAAGGAAGGAATCGCTCTCATCGCTTCATTTCTACGTTAAATAATTAAATGACAGAAAAATGCCTCAGGCTCCAATTAATTGACAAAATGTGTGTCTGGTTAATAAGCTAATTGTACATCCACTTTTAAAATATAACTAATAAATTATCCGAGCAATTTTAGAAAAGCAATTTTCGTTGGAAAGTTAATTAACTCGTCGAGTTTCGACATAATTTTATCGTTTCTTTCTTCACCAGCATCATCGTCATCATCACCTTCGTCTCTATTCTTCGAAATCCCAAGAATGTCATTTCATTGTTTGCATGAGAAAAAAGTGCAAAAAAAAAAAATGTCGTCTCGTTAACCTAATTGCATTGCTAATAGTCGAAAAAATTTTCAAGATATTCCATAAAAATTAATTGATTTAGTTGTATTGCGTGTAACTATTTATGTGTTTTGTACTATACTTTATAACCTGCTGAGTATATATAACAGACGTCACTTATAAAGATTATGACCTCGCTACGTGATGCCATATTTTATGCTCTTAGTGGTATTCCCAATGAGGACTTAGTATCTTACACAACTCTATATGTCTTCGATTAAATCGTCACTGACGTAAACTAATTGATAAATTGAGAAAAAGTGGATGATGATGATAAGTAACGAGAAAGACGTAAGATTAATATTTGAGATTGGTATTATTGTCCAATGTTTTGTGTCATCTCCTATCGATATCGACCCCACTTTTTAGTATCTTTCGTACGATGTTACGCCTCAATTTTTCTTTTATGATTTATGATTTCCAATAGAAATCTGTCGTCGTACAAACGAAATTCCTGTCGATCTTACCGGAATATAAATCGAATTTAACATTTTCTATAGGAAATCGTATAATGTATTGTACTGTGACAAGATTCCTAATTGGAATCACTCTACGAAGACACATTCATCGCCTTTTTTTAAAATTTCTCCACACTCGACAATAAAGGAAATAACAGCTGGTGTGTGCGAAAGAAAACAACTTCTTCATTTAATTTAATTTAATTTGTTAATTAAGTTCTTGCTTTATTTTGTACAAATCTACAATTTACAAGAAAAAAAGTAACGTGTTAATTCACCATAAATTCTACAATTTTATTTGTTCTAATCAAATAAATGTGTTTTATTCTGTTTTATAACATGGTTTCTTGTGGAAATATTAGGTTAGAATCGAGATAAATCAAAAAAATTATCTGATTTTGTCATTCTTTTAAGATGAAAAAGGATTGGTTGAAGAATGGTTGTCTTAACGGTGATTGGTCTAATTCAAAATTATGTTGTCGAATGAAGTAAAGCAAGAGATGTGCATAAAACGGTGTATGAAAAGGTCAAAACTTGAGTATATTTTCGAAATATAAATCGAGGTAAATATTTAAATACAGAATCGATCGGTTACGAAGGTAAATAAGAGAGTTAAACGCGATTTTTCACTTCAATTCTCGCTGAATAACCCGTTTTTACCGTTTCTAGAGTATACCAAAAAGCTAGTTTTTTCATTAAAAGTAATATATTTTAAAACATTCGAAAACTAAAACGTTAATATATGCATTTTTACCTTCTTCACTATTTATAACCTCAATTCGTTCAAGCTATAAGCTTCAAAACTTGGGGATATTTTCTAATTATAAACACAAAAATGAGAGCTTATTACAGAACTATATATGAATAAATTTATTTAAAATTAGTTAAAATAGATAGCTTTTTTTGAATGGAGAATAATAGAGAAGAGATTTAACGAAAGAATATGAAGTCAAATTACATATAAAATGCAATATCTGCATTCCTCGACTGATCGAAACTTCATCCAGTCTCATTTCTTGTAATTTTCTCCTGGTAAATGTGTTTCGAAAAAGAACAGAATGAATTCTTTACTAGATATGATCAGTAACTATTCAAAGAATGGAGAGAGAGATCGATGGAAGATGAAGATGATGAAAATACACTTCGAAACCAACACAACTCATCATCGATGATATTTCCAATCCAAATTACAAAAATAATAACTCTATAGTGAGACGTAAACTATACAAATTACAGTAATTTCTATAGTAAATAATACAATTAATAAGACTTAAACTATAATAAAACAGAGGAGGATTTCGATATATATTCGTTCTCTTTCTCCTGTATTTTTTTCCCTGTATTTAATTAAGAAAAGAACTCGCGAAAAGACTAGAAATTCCTCAATTTGCATAGAAAACTTCATTAAGATTATCTTATCATTCTGATCTTCGATATTTATTTTCGCTGTTTAAACTTAAAAAAAAAACTATTTAATTTTAAACTAAAACAAGAATTTTAACTAATGAGACAAGCAAAACTTTTATTTCTTTCCTTAGATCTTTTATAAATTAGATTTTTCTACTCATGATAAGTATAGGAAACGTTTAAGAAAACAGCTGTCTCTACTGTTGAATATATAATCTGTAATTTACAATTTACAAAAAAGATATATATATATATCTGAGAACAATAAAAAATTAAATCTTTTATAAATTTCAGGATGTTTTTTTTTTTTTATCAAGATGTCAATCCAAGCTTAAGTTTCTGTCAGTCAATGGACGTGAACTCGTTTCTTATGCAGAAGATAAAAGGATATTCTGAATCTTTCTCAGCATCCAACAACAAAAGAGATGCGGATTTCTTTTTGTAAACTTTAAATTGTTTCCCTTCAAAAGGTTTCAGAAAGATCAGAATTATCTTTCGTGTACAGAAACATCCTTCTTAACGATTTATTACAGATAAAGAAGAGAAGAAATATTTTTATAAAATTTCAAGAATTTTAAAAGATTTTCATTTGATACTTTAAAAAAATTACGTCTCGTTTGTTTAATTATAATAAAATTTGATTCAAATCCTGTTTATTTTTATTAAAAACTTGCTATTTCAATGAACTTAAACGTATACTTAAATCCCACTTTTATGTTAATTAAATACATTTTAAATTGTTCTTTTTAACCTTATTTTACACTCTTTATTAAGAAAAATTCTTAATTCTCTTCGATTTTTATACTATTTTCATTTTCTTTTTAAAGTATAATAAATAAAAATACTGTACTACATCTTTATATTTATTAATACACATTTCGATGATAAAGCTTTATATTAATTTAATTTATATATAAAATTCTATAAAATATAATTAAATAGAGTTTAATATAAGTAAAAGATGTAAAATAAAGAGTTATTTTATTGTTTATTTGATAATTAATCATAGAAAATCAAAGTTGCTCTTCAGCCTCTTCACGTGCAACATCTCCTCGTAGAGATGCTCTTCCTTCGGCATCATTGATTTTCGGCATCATTTCGTATTGTTTATTGACGAAAAAATGTAAAATTAATGCTTTATAATTGATTTTTCTTTAAATAAAACTATTTTATCATAGTTTAAAATAATTTATAATTTATTTTCGATAGAAAAAGTTTGAGAAGTTTCTTTCTTAAGATTATCTTTTTCGAAATTTCCGTGGCATTCGGCATTGAATCTATCACAAAGCCATTAAATCTTTTCTCGATTATCTCAATATATATAAAAAAAAAATGTATATAAACTTGAAGAGACTTCATTTTAATATACAGAAAAGAATTATTTGCATATTTGACTCGTTTATTCAAATGTGACGGGACGTAATGTGGTTAAAATATTCCAAATTGTTGCTACAGAAAAAGAAGATATTTACAATTGATTTCGGACATAAATTATGAAAATATATGAAGAAATATTATTGTTAAAATTTACAGGAGAGACACTTTCAACCTTCTAATAATAGCATTTAATTAATTAAAAGTAATTTTTGTATTTATCGAACGAATCGAATGATTAAACAACATACTTTTAGTTAATTGTTTTCTAAACGAATTAATTCTTTTCTGTAATTAATCGCTCGAATTTATAATGTAATAAACAGTAAGTTCGGTAAATGTAAACATAGAAAATCATTGTTTATTAATGAAGAGAATGAATCCCCCTCTCTCTCGCTTGTTCTCTTGCAGCCTTATGTTTACTTACGTTAATCGTCTCCTGACGTCTTCGGGTATTAAAAACTATACGTAAGACTATAAAAATATAAACGTTTCCCCATACAAAAGGTGGAAAACATTAAAAAAAATGATTATGAAACTTCACAGAACTAAAGAATATAATAAAATCGATTAAATTTGAATGGTAATGGAAAGGTGTGTATCAAACTGGAGTAAAAGTGATAAAAGTTAGAACTTGGGAAGAGTCCTCTCCTTATCTTTGTTATAAATAAATAAACC